TTAAAAAATGGGGCTGGGCCATCCCTTAAAAGACATACTTGCATGCCAGGAATTAAAAAATAAATAAATAAATAAAAATATATATATAGGACCCACAACTTGGTGCATTGGACACATGTCCAAGATTTGTCGAGAAAGTGTTCCTTGTGTGTCGAACTTATAAATAGTAGGAACACTATCCCAACACATCCTATCCAACACATCATCTTTGCTTGGTGCTTCTCTGCACGTCATATTTGCTTAGCCATCTAGAAAATCTTATATAAATGAAATAATGTAACTGAGGCTGCTCAATTTCCTAAAATACGACCAGTATTATATGCAAAGCAGGAGTTAGTTCTAGACAATTTTTGTTCGTGGATGGCCACATACTATTTCTTCTTCTGAAAGACCTAGAGATTTCAAAGACATGCAACAATACACATAATCAGATACACAAATATAGAAACAAACAGACAAACACAAAGCACAAATCTCTATTTATTCCCCCTAAATCAGAAAACCTGCACCATTGGGCTATTCCATTCAAATATTCTAAAGAAAATATTAAACGAAACTGATTGTAACAATAAGGTCAATACGTATTGAACATGCCTATATGATCAAATAGGAGTAATAGATGTTAAATTACTTACTATTCGGATGGAACATCCGGGAGATGAATCGCACTGTTGGTGGCTTGTTTGGGTAATCCTCTGAGAATTGAAGTGTCAACTTAAACGTACCTAAAAGCAAAGAATAATATGTCCAATGATCAAACCATTGAATTCCCAGGGATAGAAAGAACGGAACATTATTCGGCAAATAATGAAAAAGGGAAAACGAAAGATGAGGAGCAGCATTTTATATAGACCCAAAGCAGCAATCATTCAAATTTCTCACAAGTGTGAAATCCAAAGATTTTATACGATGATGAGAATCTACATCTACACAATTAAAAAGACTCATTAAGTGGCCATATAAGCACGGATACCGATACGTAATTAAAATACGATACAGGTACGCCGATACAATTTTTTAAAAAAATTAGGATACGCGAATACTTGTTATAGAATTCAACATAATTTCATTAATATAAAAAAAAATTAAAACAAAAGCATAATAATAAAAATAAAATACTAAAACATTTTATCTTAATCCTTAATTGCTTCATCTTCATTTTCTTCAACATGATCAATATCAATTTCTTCGTTATCATTAAAATAACACTCTCCAAATTTGGCTCTCTAATAATAGATTAGCAAGTTCAAGAAGTCCAACATCTTCAAGAGTATCAAATATATCTCCCGCAATGTCCCACATTTTGGATTCTTCTTTTGAATAGAGATTTAATTTTCTTGATAAAAGACGTAGATTGCTATGAATGAAAAATAATTCTTTAGCTCGTTGTGATCATAGAGTGCTAAAAGAGTACTTCCTATTTCTTTCAACACAAGATGAAGAAGAATGCTGCACAAGAAGTTTTAAAGCAATGCTTTGAAATAAAGATACATGAGAACAAAAAGTAGCCACCATGTTTTTGAATCCATACCCATTAGTGATAGAATTAAACTCACCAATAACATTTTTCTTCACGTGTTCTAACGAATCAGATACGTATTGAAAATAATTAAAATAATTAAAAAATACGTATCCGATATGCATAGTTTGAAAAAACGTAAACGGGTACCGAGACCTTTTTTTGTTATGAAGCGAGGCGTAAGCCTCAAAACGTTTTGAGGCGTAAGTCTCACCACAAACAAAACAGGTGCAAAATCTCCCGCATTGTCCCACATTTTGGATTCTTCTTTTGAATATAGATTTAAATTTCTTTATAAATGATTTAGATTGCTTTGAATGAAAAATAATTCTTTAGCTCATGTGATCATAGAGTGCTAAAAGAGTACTTCCTATTTCTTTCAACACAAGATGAAGAAGAAGGCTGCACAAGAAGTTAAAGCAATGCTTTGAAACAAAGATACATGTGAACCAAGAAGTAGCCACCATGTTTTTGAATCCATACCCATTAGTGATAGAATTAAACTCATCAATAACATTTTTCTTCACGTGTTCTAACGAATCAAATACGTGTTGAAAATAATTAAAATAATTAAAAAATACGTATCCGATATGTATCGAAAAATTAAAATATATAAACTTCATAAAATAATTTTAAAAAATGTATCCAATATGTATCAGAGGGTATAGAATTAGAAAGTCCAATATTGGACATGTATCGGATACGGGTAAGTAATGAGTTTACAAGTATCCGTGCTTCTCTGGGGCCATAATCTAGTGGATAATCTCTCCACGGCAGAACAAGAGAGCATAAAATTAGAAAATGAAAAGAAGACATTCTACCCTTATAAGTTATAAGCAAAAACAAATGGGGCTGTAGTCTTTTTTTAACATCCTCGTGCAAAATAAGAGCCCATCAAGCTAACCACACTATACGGACAGATCAATGTATTTTAAACTTCAACCTTTGTGTCATTGTTATGCACTAAATTGACTCGATCACAGCAAATCCAATTCTCCAACACAGAATCGATAATAAAAGAAAATCATCTGATTCAGCTGTTAGGTAAAAATAAACCAACAGTGATTTAACGACTGTCGCGAGCTGCAGCACATCTAATATAAAAACCCTTATTTGTACTCAGAATGGTAGATAGATCATGTGGAATGTGAATCCTCATTAATGTGTACATTTTATGAGGTGTGTCAATATCAGAAAAGCACCTAAAAAGGCTTATTGCCTTAAATCTAGTACGGAAGTACAAATCCATGATGAACCCCAACATATTAACAATTAGTTCTAACAAATGCAGGATTAACAGTTAGAACCACATATAATGAAACTGAAACAATCAAATAATGCACCAATTATCATTGAAATGAACACAAAACTTAAATTTTAGAGAAAGAATTGCCTCACCTCCGTCCCAAGGAGTGTCATCGGGACTGCATTTCAGAAACAACAAAGAATCAGTAAAAATTTGAACTTCAATGGATCACTAATGGCGCGCAATAAATTCACAGAATATACCCAAAAATAACGGCGTTCCACAGCATGATGTTATTATCATATGGTGCGCCGCTGATGCCGGCTGGAGGGTCCTGCTGCAAACGCTTGAAATCCCTCATCAATCGTTTCCTCGACGGCGTGGACATCCTCACCGCCTACAATCAACACTCCAGTTAAAATACACCTTTCCCTAATTCCCAATTCCACAAAAAAACAAGAAAACTCCACTACAACAAAAATAAATCCTAACCCACATCACCAAATCAATCAAGAAAACAACATCAAAACCTAGATCCACAAATTCTAGGCAAAATCAATTAGTGCCCCTACAAGTCGAAATCAATAAACTCGGGGTCCTATTTAACATATACATACATGCGACTTATGCATGACAACAAGAGGAATTTACCCGAGAGTGAAAGCGGCAAGAATTACTTCCCTTTTCTTGAGAAAAATTGATGAAATTACGATCGGCCGCCCGAGGAATTTGTGACTATTCCTGGCCCTTAAATACAAGAAGTTTTCAAGGAAAATAAAATCTTCAAAACACAATAATAGACATTTTCAGTTGGCGTCATATATAAGCAGATCGAGGCATAATTTATATGCGTGGCAGTGCGTGCGTGAAAGGGCTTATAATTTATTTTTATATATATTTTTTACAAATATATATTTGGCGTCCATTCGAGCCCTGTTTTTTTTGCCGCCAAAATGAGTTTTAGAACAGTATTTATTGAAAAATATATGGTTAAAAATAAGGAAATATTTTATATTTGCGTGTAATATTATTTTATTGAAAAATATATGATTAAAAATAATATTTTGAAAATAATGGATACCAACAGGAGATAATATTTGAGGAATAATTTTTTTTTTTAAATGAGGGATAATTTTTTTGGTAAGGACTTCAATACCAACCCCCAAAAAGTAGATATTTTTATGGTTGGCATCTCGGGGTGGGCATTGGGGTTATTCTGAGTATCTTAAAAATCAGATCAAAACAATTCTCCATTATCCTAATCCTAACTATCCTAAAAGAGCGAGTTTCCTAAGCCACGTGTCGAACTCTCCCGTCGTCGACCAAGACGACGTCATTTGAGATTTCCCATTTCTTTTCATATAAACCGCATTCCCTAGATTTCAACCAATTCATTCTCCTCTGCAATCATCAATTCAATTCACACTGCCGACTACATTCACCCATCCCCAACCACAATTACCGTCACCGCCGCCTGAAAGGTAAGTATTTCCTGCTTTCAATTCCCCGGCAAGGAGACACTAACAGTGTCGCCGTCGTGCGCAGAGACACGGATCGCGTCTCCGTGCGCGACGGAGACACGGTGGTCGCATCTCCGACGGAGACACGACCGTCTCTCCATTAGCCGAGCCATGTGGGTGTTTTTTGCTTTTTTTCCCCCTTTTCAGTCGCGAGAGTCATCCATTTCCTTTTCTTCTATTTTCTCTGCGTGAACCCTAATTGCTCTCGTTGTCTCTTCTCGTCGCCACCGTAGCAAAAAATTCTAGAAAGCCTGAGGGAATTGAAACATATACATGTAAGTATGATCTTTAATGCTTCGATTCCTTCCTCTTCTGTATATTTCATTTGAGCTTCTGTGAATCCTTTGCAAAAGCTGATAACAGTTCCACAAGAAGTGGACAACAAAAGGGGAAAATTTTCACAGTGACCTCGAATTTTCCTCCTGCATATATTCGAAGTTTTGTGAATCTTTCACAAAACCCATATAAACTGGACCGTGTTGATGGTGTGAAGGTCTGACCGTGTATGTGTTTATTTTTTAATATGGGACATGGATTTTGTTGTTAATTGATGTATTTTGGGGATCTGGGTGTTTGATGCGAAATTACAGAAGGGTTTGTGGATTTTGGGTCAATTGAGATCTACTGGAGCTGTTTTGTTGACTTATTGTTTTGTTTTGAGTTTTGTTGATATTCTTTTGTTTCTTTTTCGGTCTTTAGGTATTTTAAAGTGAAAATGCGGACAAGGTATATGGAGAGGACAAATTCAACGAGTGGGAGAGGAAAAAGGACCTTGGAGAGTGGTGATGATGAAGAGCAGCAACCTGATAAGAAAAGACCTGCTTTAGCTAGGTAACAAATTGCTATTAACTGCTCTTGATGGTTTTTTTTTTTTTTTGTCTTAATGAAAATGCTTGATTTTCATATCAATTTCGGTAACAATTGGTTCTATGATTTTGTTAAATTCTTTCATTTGGTGCTTAATTTCGAATTTTCGAGTTTTCAAAATTTATGAAAACTGATGTTACAATGTTACTTTGAAAGTAAAGGTAAATAAATGGCCTTTTTGTTAGTTGTCTAATTGAATTCAATAAGGCTGGATGGGACCCTATTTTCCTGTGAGGTTTTTAGGAGTGAGTGATAATACAAATGGAGATTCTTAGTAAAATTCAAAGTGTACAGAAGGCATTGCAGAAATGACTGCGCGAAAATTGCATGGCTAATCAGGAAATGATTTCCCAAATGGAAACTTACACTTGAAAATTTCAACTAAATTGATCGAACTGATGTGGGAGATTTGTCTTCACTGAACTTGCTGGGGGAAAATTACACGAAGGAGGGCCTGATGAGTAATGATCGGGGTTGGACAATTGGACTTAATTTAGTACTCTTTGAACTGGGATTTTATAAATCTGCATATATTAGTTATGGGATTTTATAAATTGAATATGTGCTTGAATATGTATTATTATTTATCTAGGTTTGGCTTAATTGAGTGTTTGGGTTTGGCTTGAATGTGTATTTAGTTCCGTAAGACTCTTTTAAGAATTCTATTGTAAAAATTTCAAAATCCATTTTTTGAATTTTATTTTACTCTGATGTTTCTGAACCTGTTTATTTCTTTCACAGCAAGATGATATTGTGTCCTATATCAACGAGGGTATAAAAAGTGGTACTGAAGTTTATACTTTTCGAAAAGATAAGCTTGCTGGAGATGAACATGGAACTGTATTCTGTTAGGCACTGTTCATAAGTTGCAGTAGTGAGACCAACTATGCGGAATACACCTACAGAGACCTTGAGAGAGAATCCTATTGGCCTTCTAAGAAGCTCCGGATTTGCATTACGAGAGCTGGTGGATTCATTGCCTCACATATCGACTTGAAGCAGGTATTTCTTTTTCTTTTCCCCTTTTTAGCTAAAATTTGAGCAAAGATGAGAAGGCCAAAATTGGAATTGTTCTTTTCCCTGAGACAACAAAGATCAATTCAGATTCTGGTTTTTATTATGTTTTTGTATATGCTTCTGGTGAGTTTTGAAGTCCCTTTCGTGTTAAAAACTGGGCTTGGGTCAGTTTCTCGAGAGGGGATTTTAAATAGTAATAATGGGTTTTTGAATTTCAAGCCTTTTGTGCTGGAAAGTGAGGAAAATTTGGAGGAAAGAGAGGCGCCCCCATTCGCCCTCATGATGTAGCCCTTAAGGTCTCTAATCATTCGAAACATGAGAGAAAAATCCAAGAGTTAATTAGAACACCGTTGAGAACAAAGTGAAGTGCGTGTAAGAGATTCAGATGATAAGTGATCTGATACCACATTTGAGTTAGATCGTTTTAGCTGGTTTAACCAAGAAATCTTTCTAATCATTGTTTGTTTTTTTTAATTGCTATATTTTACTTTGTGTTGTGGTGTGATGGGGATGGGGTTTGAATAATACTTTGTGGAAGTTTGTTTGGGAAAGGGTGCTAAATCTCCAGTGAATAAAAAAATAGTGAAATTTTGAAGATATTTCAGTGTACTTGATCCAATTTTACGTTTATAATCAAGTTTTAATTGGATGGTGTTTAGTATTCTCAGCTCATTTTGTTTTGGTATAATTTCTTATTGACCATTTAATTAAAACAATAGGAAGCTCGTAGAATTTCAATTTTTTTTCTATGCAGGCAATACTTCTGACTAAGTACCTTATGGCTCATGAGCCTGATGATGACAATATTCTAAGAACTCGAATATATGATGTTAGCATTACGAAAGTTACTGTTGACGTAAAACTTATGTCAATTGTTTATTTTATTGTTTAGTTCAAGCTCCACTGCATATCTAATGCTCCCTCCTCTCAGATATGACAAATACAATCAAACTCGTGTATGGCTCACTGGATATGATGAGATTGGTGCCTTTCATTATTTTGTCTGCATATTTCTGTGGATATCACTGTAATGATAAAGTAGCTCGATTAGCTCGAACCTAACTGTGAGCAAGTAATCAGATGGGCATAACATAGATTGGATCAGATTATTAGAAGGCTTTTTTTTTTGCAACATTTCTCAAAACAAGTGTTTCATAATGGAGGAAATTAAACCATCAAGCGAAACAATCAAATGTCACAAAAAGTCAAAAGAACTTGAGCAATTTTAATCATTGGAATTTAACTATCTAATTTATAGCCTTAGTTCTCTTGTTTGGTTTATTTACGATTTTATCTCAGATGCATAACTACTAAATGTACTGATTTCAATTAGTTTATAATTCTTTTGATTAGTTATGAAGTTTTTATGGGATCTAAATATGTTGAAGTTTCAATAAATTGAACATCTCTATGGTTCCTTGGTTATTTGATAAAATAAGTGCTAATTATCTGTTTATTTATGTGCTTCTAAAGCAAGTCGGTTGAATCGATGGATGTGGTGGTGTACTATTTATTTGTTAAGTAAGTGTTCCAAAAAAAGAATTGTTCTTTCAGTTTATTTCTTATCGTTTCATGTAAAATATATGCATTTCCTTTAATGAGTACATTTTCTCTTTACAAATAATTTATCTAAAATTTAATTTTTGCTTTTTATTTCTTATGTGTAGTATTCTATTTTCAAGATGTTGGTGTGCATTTTTTCTTCGGTGAGTTCTTTAAAAAAAAAAAACTCTTTCTTCCATTTATTTTTTCATACATTTGTCTACCAAGCCTGTCTATGAGGGTACTATTCTTGCAATTCACAAACAGATTGAATCCAGAAATCCTCTTGCTTTTGCTCCTAAAAGTGATTAAGAGCTCGGATCATCTATCTGAAGTCATGTTATTTAGTGAATTTAGGACCCATGTTTTGCTCACCTGGTCCTTAAGTGCATTTAAATATTCTCTTTCCAATTTTTGATCCATCGGGTACCTTAGATAATAGCTTCTTCATAAATTTTATGCAACATGTTTGGCTTAATAATGTTGACAGATTGATCCATCTGGTGGGAATCGTGGTTTATTAG